TCTCAGACCATGATGGTCAAATTCTTGAAATAATCAATAATAGTGAAACTACCAAATTAAATATTGGTTCAAAGGTCCATTTTGAGTATAAGAGGAAATTCAGCGATGCAAATATTAATCAATTTATTAGGGCACTGGAATTTGAATCATGGGCAAACCTTTACTCATCACCGGTTGAAAGAAAGTACGATACTTTTCATCACATTTTTATGTATCATTTTGATAATTGTTTTCCTGAGACTTTGATAAGACAACATACTAACAAAAAATGGATCTCTAATGAATTGAAGTTAGAAAAACAAAATATAAGTAATTTCAGCAAATTGGCTAGAGAAGTTAATTGTAAAAAAATGGTTAAAAAACTAGGGAAATGAACAAAAATTTCAGAGAACGATTATACACTGCAAAGAAAAATTACTATAAATCTGTTATTAATAATTCAAATAATGTAAATAAAACCACTTGGAAGATTATCAACTCAGAAGTAGGAAATAAAGCAAAGGATATACAAAACATAATTTTAAAATCAAATGACATTGTATGTACTGAGCCTTCTCTGGTTTGTAACCAATTTAATAATTATTTTGCAGATTTAATTGAGGATACTTCAATATGCAGTATGGAGCAAACTCAAGTTGAGACAGAGAATAGTTCAGAAAATGATTTTTTGTTAATTACTACTAACAATTTTAAATTTAGCTTTGTTGATGAGAAAGACATTGATTACATTTTAAACCACCTAAAAAATTCTTTTAGTACGGGATATGATGGTATTCCTGTGGTACTCCTAAAAAAAGCAAGATTCGTATTACTTAAACCAATCACTCACATCATTAACTCTTCATTAGTTTCTGGTATTTTTCCTGATAAACTTAAAGTAGCAAAATTAAAACCGCTTTTCAAAAAAGGGGACAAGTACTTAGTTTTGAGCCGTGACTATTTCCACCGGGCGAATGTCACGACTCATGATCAATGGTTCAAGTGTTTTTTTTTATAGTAGGCTAGTTCAGTGTTTCGTTGTCACTCCACGACCCCGAACAAGGCTGTGGGTTTTTGTTCTTATTACTCCCACCGCCAAGCACTTCAGAGGTTGCGTGACAATCAACTAGTTAACCTCGCAGACATTTTTCCATCGTTTTACATCGCCCTTTTGGCACATGTTTTATGCAAAGTCGATTATGTTTTTTACTTTGTGCTTAGTCTGCGAGGTTATGGAGTAGTTCAAGTGCGCCACGCGCGCCTTTTGGGTGAGTTTTTCACATTTTTCTAAAGTTAGGTTAGCTGCACATGGTTGCACTAGGTCTGGAACCTAGTCTTGGGGTCGTGGAAGACTTTTGATAGTTAGTTTCCCTGTTCTCTGTTGTTTTGTATAATTCAGGGCTTTGCCCGAAATGCTAGGCCTAGAATTGACTGAGAAATGTTTGTTGGAAAGCCGCTATTTGAGAGAAACTGCCAAGTCAGTTTTGGGTCCTTCTGACTGTTTTGTGGTAGGCCTAGGCTTACAATTTTTGCTCAGTAAATGTAATTGTTTTAGGCTACTACCTTTGGTAGCCCTTTGCTTTGTGTCCCGTTAAAATTTAGTGTTGTTTTGTCTTGTAAAATGTTCAGTTTGTGTTACCCAGTCAAGTAAGGTTAAAGTCTTTTATTTTGCTTTGTTCTTGCCAAACTAGTTAAATTAAGTTATTTTAACTGCTCTTAAAGCTCCCCAGAAAGTTTGAGTCATTTTAATCAAGTTTTAAGAAAGTTATGAGGAATTAAGAGTTTGGCAATTCTCCTTTCAGGTTTGAACTGGGTAACCAAAAGGCCAACTGGTTTCAGCCTTTGAGTTAAGGTTTGGAATGGTCTGGAAAAGTTGCTGGAACATTTCCCCCAGCTTTTAAGACCATTCCGAACAAATTCGGATCACAACTTTTGGAGAGATTAGCAAAAATACATGAGTCGTTGCGTTAGGCCTAAATTTTTGTATGGAACGTTTTTTGTCAATTTTAAAGTATTTTTCTGTGTCTAAGTGTCAATTGTTCTCTGTTAACTTGTTCTTCTGGCCACTTTGGACCAGGCAATTTAAATATTTTCTCTCTATTGGTGAAATTTATCACTGTCACATACCCGTCTAGCCTGCTGGCATTTTTACCGCAAGTATTAATGTTACCGATCTTGTACTGTTTCACCTGTTAATTGTTTGTTTAAATTATTGTTATTGTTTAAAATGTTTTATATTGTTAAAGAGCTGTGATAGAGAGACAAACCTTGTAAAAATTTAGAGTTTTTTTCCCTGAAAAAATATGTTAGGCCTGCTCAGTGAAATGTTTGGAACTAAATGAAAATAGTGAAATGTGTGTGACAGTGAATTTTGCGGATATGGACTTGAGCTCTCCTGGTACTACTGTGTTTCTGGATTTGTTACTCAGGGCCCGTGAGGAGGACTATGCACTGGACCGTTTCGACCTTGGCGGAGGAAATTTGTAACACATGGCTGCCTCGTAGACCTTGGCCCCCTCTCCGCCCTGCTTGGTTCCCCCTCCGGTGCTGAACATCTAGACCTGGCCCAAAACCCAACCGCACTACCGCAAGTTACCCACTGTCGTTATGTTTTTTGATTTTATTTATAAAAAAGAGCAACCCAAGAGACTATTTGAAATTATTATTGTTATAGGCCTATACATAGTTTATTAATTGTTATTCTTTTTAAATTTTAATTCTTTAGGCTACTTGTTGATCTTTTTTAAATTTTATAATTTTATTAAATATTCTATTGAATTCTAATTTGGGGCCCCTTAAGTTTCTATAGTTACCAGATGAAATGAATTTATTAAAAGAGTCATTTTATATATATCATTGTTGTAATTTGTTAATTTAAAAGTTTTTTTTTGAAAGGTAAAAGCTAGTAAGATTTATTTTTGAAATTTAGCCTATTTGAAAATGATTAATGAAATAATTGTAAGTTAGTAGGGTAAACGGGTATCAAAATTTTTTAAAGTTTAATTGAGAGTATTTAATTCATGTATTATTGTTAATTATTGTTGTGATATTCTTTTAAATGGTTAATTACAGCTCGTTTCTCTCAAATGGCGTGTTGTTCTTGAACCTCCATCCATGGTTCTCATTTTGTTAAGTAAAGTTTTGTGAGCCGCTCCTCGGGCCTGCGCATGGATCACGCTTCCATTTGGTTAGTCTGGGTGCAGGCGCGAGGGCATGGTTCAGTTTCAAACTACAGACCAATAGCACTGCTTCCCGCTATTTCTAAAATTTATGAAAAAGTAATCTATAATCAACTAGTAAATTTTTTTGAAGAATGTCAACATGGTTTCCGCAGTGGTAGATCTTTAATAACAGCTGCCACAAAGTTTGTTGAATCTATTATTGATAGTTTGGACAGTAAATTAAAAGTGGTAGGATTATTTATGGATTTAAGTAAAGCCTTTGATTCAATATCACATAACCTTTTAATTTCAAAGCTAAGCAAATTAGGGATAAAGAACAATGCATTAAAGTTACTCAAGTCTTACCTTTCCAACAGAAAACAGTTTGTAGAAATAATTCACCAAAACAACAAAAACTATAAAATTCATTACCGATCCTCTATTAGAGATGTGAAATTTGGAGTGCCTCAGGGGTCCATCTTAGGCCCTTTATTATTCATTTGTTACTTTAGAGACTTTCCCCAACTCAGTGACTTGAGTGAACTTTGCCTATATGCTGATGATACTAATTTGAAAATCGCTGCAAAATCAAATGATGAACTTGAACTTAAGGCAAATTCCGATATAGCTGTGTTAAATATTTTTTTTAATTCTAATAATTTGCTTCTTAATCCAGATAAGACAAATTTCATTAGTTTTCAAACTCGAGAATTAGGAGATCAAAATAAACCAGTCATCAAACTCGAGAACACAGAAATTCTAAGTATGGACAACATTAAATTCTTGGGATTGGAAATTGATAAAAATCTGAAATGGTACAGTCACGTTAAAAAGTTACTTGCTAAAATCACATCAGGATTATATGCTTTATCTAGATTGAAACCCTTATGTGAAAAACAAACTCTAAAAGTTATATATTTTTCATATATCCACTCAAGTATATCTTTTGGGATTTCACTTTATGGTGCAACTAGTGATTACAATTTGAATTCTATTCTAAAAAAGCAAATGAAAGCTATTAGAATCATCTGCAATTTAGATTTTGAAACTTCTGTTACTAAAGAACACTTTAAATCAGAAAATATAATGACAATTTACGGAATGTATGTTTTTGAAACAATTTTATCAGTAAAGGACAGACTTCATGATTTGGAACGAGTTGGGGATAGTCATAATTATTTCACCAGAAATCGGGAAAACCTTGCAATTGGCCACCATAGTCTAAAACTGTTTGAGAAAAAACCCATATATGCGGGATCAAAATTTTATAATAATCTCCCAATCGAAATTAAATCAGAGACTTCTAAAACAATATTTAAAAATAAATTAAAAAGATTTCTCATCAGCAAGGCTATTTTTTCTTTTGAAGAGTTGGATAGTCTTTGAGGTTAAAAACTAATTCAGGATAAGTATTTTTTGTTTACAATTTATAAAAAAAAAATGTAAGTTTGTGAAATTTTGTTTTTATATTCTTAGGTTAGAAATGTATTTAATAAATATTAGGCCTACTTGCAGCTGAACTGTGGACACTATTCAATGTATTTTGTACAAGAGATGAATAAAGAAGTTTTGAATTGAATTGAATTGAAGAAGTTAGTTTTTTGTTAAAAACCTTAAATCTAATTTTAATGTGTTTAACATTGGCCTTATGGGATGCCGAGTAGCCATGACAGTTTAACCAATCACCAATTAATAAGAAAAATTTTAACAAAATACTCTTATAACAAACCATTGACAGTAGGCTATACTAAAACATTTAAAAAATAATAGTTGTTACCCACGGGCTTCACCCCTTTTCACTTCATAAGTATTAATAAAACTATTGATTGGTTAGGTTGAGCTGAAATAAGCAAAACAGAATACAGTAATACAAAAAATAATCTCACCTGATTTTAATAAGGTAATAAATTGAAAGAATAACATACAAATGAATACAGCTGAGGTATTTTTAACATTATTAGGTTTATGGAAAGTTCCCTTTGGAAAGCAATTACGACTTTTTAGGGCAGTTTAAGAAATAATGGATAGTTTTGCGCAAGGTTTCTCGTCATGACGAACATTTTAAATATATGGTTTATGGGGGTGTGACTTGTAGTTTTCTCAAAAGTTCATGGGTACTTTTGGCTTTATATATAGATTTTACAAAAGAAAAGGACATTTCTATGAATACCTTGGGCATATAAAAAACTTAGCGGTTATTACTTTACTTAGGAATGTGATAAATACAACTGCTCATATACAAAGAGATTTTTACCGCAAAACATTACAATATAACCCTTTATAAAATTGCTCGGTGCTACACTGGTGCTTTCATGGAATTACGAGTAGTAAAAATGTAACCCGATTTTTAGTCAGGGCTAAAAAATGTTCAATGTTTAGTGTCTTCCAATGACCCACCAAAACTGCTCCTGCAGGAATTGTTGTGGTAGATAGAATAAGCATATCCCTTTTACAACCAACACCTGTCTTTAAATAGAAACAAAGTCCTATAAAGATATTGTTCAAATGTTGACTCCCCATCTTTAACAGAACACAATGTCTTGAACAGTAATAGTAAATGCTTTAACTTTGATGGCCCATAACGGTTTACTTCAAACATTAATTTATCAAATGAAAACTCAGATACATCCACCCCTAGATGGGATAGGTATTGTACCAAAGAAAGGTGATAACATTTTATGAGATCAGGGAATTCACTCAAGACACCACTTTCAACAGATGAGAATAAAAAGTAAACCAGATCTCGAGCTGGTGAATTCATTATTACAGTCTGAAAGTCAATGAACTTAACACTGACTCCATCACTCGACAAATTTTTGAACATTATGTTTCCTCTCCACAGATCATTGTGGAGTAATGTTGAAAAAGGTTCTACAGGAGTCGGAAGTTTTTTTTTGTCAATTTCACACAAAAGTGTATCCACAGCCTCTGTAAAGATCCTCAAATCATCATTAGAGCTCAGTTTGTTTCTTATGTCCAATCTCAACTGCAAGTTGATTTTGTCCTTATCAGGATTGGAATCATTTTGAAGGGCTGGAACGCACACTGAAGCAAGCTTTTCCTCAAAAATGTTTTGATTTGACAGTTTCAAGGCTATCCCAGTGGCATGGAATTTAGCAAGCTCTTGCAGCACAAGTTTGCATTGCTCTTTGTCAAGTCTGGAACAAAATTAAAAAAAAAAATAAAAGCTGGCAAATATTGAGGTGGAAATGGCTTCTGTACAGTTTGGTTAGAGGATAGTTTGTGTTGTCTCGGTAACCAAGCTGACATGCTCCATGGTTTTTCTAACTTTTTATAATAACATTAGAGTATTTTCTGCTAACCCAAAATCAATTTAAAGTTTTTTTATTCTTTCAGTGCTTCACTTTTATTGCCTAAGTGAGCAAGATATTAACAAGACCAGGGTTTGGACCGATCCCATACAAAAAAACTTACAATAAATGCCACAAGTGTAGATATAAAAGAAAATAACCCCGCCGCAGCAAACCTACGGACTAAGGCCCCTTTCACACGATCCGGCGAGCGCATACGGCGTTGGGCGAGTCTCTTTACACGATGTCCGGCTGATATAATGATATTTAACTTCTGAACCTAGGCAAACTACCTGACCAAGAGGGTGGAACAGGCGTATCAGAAGTTAAATATTATTATACCAGAAATAATATATTTAAAGTTATCATAAAACACATATTTTCAAGTTAGTCCCATGCAAATCGGCCAACATTATAGCTATTTAAAGTGTAGTAAGAGCGTTTTAACATGGCGGGTTAGGTAAAGTATTAAAACAAACTTTTTCCCTTATTTCTAAATACATTCATCTTTGTATGCACAAGTAAAATGGAGCTTTACGTCAATAAATAAATAAATAAGTAAAATATTTAGTTTTAAATTAATTTGTATAGCCCTTATTAATATTAAATTGTGTAGCTAAATTAAATTAGGCTAATATAATCGTATATTCAACATAATATTACGTAAGTAGTATAATGTTTTAGTATGAATGTACGACCCCTGGCAGCCCTCACCGTAGGAGCCCCTCTATTCTAGGTAGCTGGAGCTTGGGGGGGGGGGGGGTTAGAAATGAATGTGTTATCAACTAGATAAACTTGATCCCCTTGTTTTCAACTATCCGATCAGCTAATATAAGACTAGCCAATAAATTATTTTATTTTATTTCTTAATAATATTAGGGGTAATATGTGGGCAAACTTTTTTTACTTTTGGTTAGTAGGTCCAATCGGTTGCTGAGGAAAGTATTGTTTTTTTTAATAATATTGTATGATTTGTTATACTATAATTGCTTAAAACAACTACTTCAATTGTGGCTAAATTATGAACACAAAGCTAAATTGAAAATAAACAAAACCGCTCTCGGTCACGACAAAATTGTAAGCGTCTCCTGGGTTTCATAGCAAAATAAAGAACATCTATTGCGATCACAAGGTCATTGTGAATATCTCATGCAGAAAAAAAAAATTTGGACGCATATTTCACGTTCACAAAGAAATAGTGAGCATCTGCTTGCACGATCGCCGATGCATCATCATTGTCTCCAGCGATCCCGATGAAATCATGAACATCTCCTGTGGTCATGGATAAATCGTGAGCTTCATTGATAAATGCTAATTACACCATTGTACCTACATATATAACAAACCTCAGCATCGAACTACAGTGTGAGCTAATATCTGTGAAAATAAAACAGGGCCGGAAAAACGTACATGTTGTTGACATCTACAGAACCCAAGGAAACCTAGACTCATCCTTGGATATCATCTCTGAAACCCTGAAAAAAACACAAACATGGAAAAATCAAGTTATTCTCATAGGTGATATCAATATAGACTGCTTGGAGCCAAACCTTGAAATGAGAAAACTGAACGAAGTTCTTCTTAGCCACAATATGATACGGCTCCCCCTGCCTCCTACAAGAATAACACCTACTACAATAAGCTCAATTGACTGTGTCTGCACAAACCTAGGCAATGATGATATTCAGGTTGACGTTCTCAATGCCAGACTCTCAGACCACACAGCACAGCTCTGTAAAATAAATACCTCTGCCCCAGAAGCTCAGAATCAAACCTTCAATTCTAGGAAATTCAACCAGAGGAATAAACTCTAAAATCTATTCTTGCCCAAGAAACCTGGGAAAGTGTCTTCAATGAACATCAACCAGAGGACGCCTATCGTAACTTCAGCAAGATTATTGCAGGAGCTATTAACCAAACCTGCCCAATGGTAAAGTCAAGGGAAAAAAACAGAAAACGTCTTATAGCAAACCATGAAGCTGAGGTACTAAAGCAAGAATTTCTACAGGCTTTGAACAAATACCTACTGAGTGGAACAGAAGAGGACAAAATGACAATGTCAAACAAGAAAAAAGATTATGACCTGAAACTGAAGACACTAAGACAACAGGCCACAGCAGTCCAAATACAGCAAGCTGATGATAAAACCAAAGCACTCTGGAGGGTCATCAACAGAGAAAGAAAGCCGACTCGAGACACATCAGAACAATCAATCACACTTGAAATAAATGGCCTCAAAACCAACAATCCTCAAAATGTTGCCAATCATCTTAATGAGTTCTTCGTTAACATAGCCAATGACACCCTTGCACAAAATCCCCAAAACCAAAATCAGCCAGCTGAAATCACAGAGGTACACTGTCAGACACCTGAGATGTCTCTTCAGTTAACAAACGAGCAGGAACTGACTTTAGTGATCAACACCCTAAAAAAATAAAACATCTGCTGGAGTAGATGATATATCCGCCAGTCTACTAAAAAAAATGTAAAGAAGAACTTGCTGGACCGTTAACATACATCATCAACCGTTCTTTCCAAGAAGGAATCTTCCCAAGTCGACTTAAAATTGCAAAGGTATACCCAAAATTCAAGAAAGGAAACCATCTGGACTCAAAGAACTACCGCCCAATTTCATTAATTTCCACATTCTCCAAAATATTCGAAAAAATAATACTAAACAGACTTCTTCAACACCTATCATCCAATGAACTGCTCACACCACATCAACATGGATTTGTACAGGGAAAATCAACCACATCTGCCATAATAGCGCTAACTGAATATGTAATAGATAATCTAGAAGAAGGAAACATACCAACCGCAATTTTACTTGATTTAAGCAAAGCATTTGACTGCTTAGATCATACACAACTATGTAACAAGTTGAGAAAAATTGGAATTGGTGGGAAAACTGCAGAATGGTCCAAGAGCTATTTAACTGGAAGAAGTCAGATGGTTGAACTCAAATACACTGAAAAGGGATCTACACAAACAGTAAGATCAAAGTTATTACCTGTAGTAAGGGGTGTTCCACAGGGTTCTGTGCTGGGCCCCATCCTTTTCATCTCGTTTACAAATTATCTCCCTCACTATTTGGAAGACTACAGCAAGACTTTTATGTATGCAGATGATACCGTACTCCTCCTTGGGGGGAAAAACCCTGAAGCCCTTGAAATCAGCTTGTTTGTTTCCATAAACATGGCAATACAATGTTGCCAAAACAACAGCTTAATAGTTAATGAAGAGAAAACACAACAACTGGTCTTTGGCAGGAGAAATGGTGGGGTATGCAGGATCCCAGACATCGAAGGCCCAGAAGAAGCAAAGTATTTAGGTTTAATAATAGACCAGAAACTGACATGGACCCCCCATATTGACAGCCTGTGTAGTAAGCTGAATAGCAGTGTCTACGTGATAAGAAGGATAAAAACCATAAGTGACACCAACATAGCCAAGATTGCCTACCACTATAACAACACTGTTTGAATCACATCTTCAATATGGCCTTGAAGTATGGGGAAACTCATCGGCAACCAACCTCCAACGTGGGAAGGTATGAGAGTTTAGTGAGTGGGAAAAAATTTCGCGCCATTCCGGCCAAACCTCGCATGCGGGGTTGGTTCGGCAGATTGGCCACAACCTAAACCCCAACTCTCACTTGTTAGCTGCGGAGAGCTACCTTCTGCCACTGGGTGTTGGTCCACCTACAGAACCAAGTGAGGGGGGCCCTAGACTAAGGTGTAATGCGATCCGTGCCAAGAGCCTTGTGGCACTGGGGGCCTAATATTCAGTGTCTTAACAGAGCCTTCTGGGAACCAGGGGTAACCCAGTCGTACGCACCCCTTACCTCTCTAATCGGGTCACTGGGGAGGTGGACTTAGATACCCGGTATTCGTCAGAACAATGTAGACAATCTGACCCAAATGGAGGAGGAAGGTCTACTGAAATCTGACGATGACGACAAGCTCGCAGAAACCGGAAAGGAACGAAAAACGACTTTTCAGGGGCGAGTTGCAAAGATGGAGGATAGCGGATGCTTTAGCCAAAGGCGAAAAGGTGCTATCCAGAAGTGAGAGGAGGCTGGTGTGGGCTGCCAAGCACCCTAACTCTGGTCCCTGCAAAGCCAGTTCCTCCGGGAACTAGGATGCTGGGAAAAAGCAGGGCATGGGTTGTACCCGCAAAGCTGACTCTAATGAAACCTCCAGGAAGAAACGTGGAGGCTGTGCTGACACAGCCACAAAGGATTGGCTGGTCAAGCAAGTTCAGGAGCTGAGTCCTTTCAGGGAAATCTTGCTACTACTTGCCCCAGCCAGAGACCTTGTAAAAGCTGTGAAGGTATATTTATGTGCCCAGCCCTACAAGTTCTGCGTATGAGATCCCTTGTACGAAAAACGACTTTCCAGGGGTGAGTTGCAAAGCCGGAGGATAGCGGATGCTTTAGCCAAAGGCGAAAAGGTGCTATCCAGAAGTGAGAGGAGGCTGGTGTGGGCTGCCAAGCACCCTAACTCTGGTCCCTGCAAAGCCAGTTCCTCCGGGAACTAGGATGCTGGGAAAAAGCAGGGCATGGGTTGTACCCGCAAAGCTGACTCTAATGAAACCTCCAGGAAGAAACGTGGAGGCTGTGCTGACACAGCCACAAAGGATTGGCTGGTCAAGCAAGTTCAGGAGCTGAGTCCTTTCAGGGAAATCTTGCTACTACTTGCCCCAGCCAGAGACCTTGTAAAAGCTGTGAAGGTATATTTATGTGCCCAGCCCTACAAGTTCTGCGTATGAGATCCCTTGTACGAAAAACGACTTTCCAGGGGTGAGTTGCAAAGCCGGAGGATAGCGGATGCTTTAGCCAAAGGCGAAAAGGTGCTATCCAGAAGTGAGAGGAGGCTGGTGTGGGCTGCCAAGCACCCTAATTCTCTGCTGCCTGCAAAGCCAGTTCCTCCGGGAACTAGGATGATGGGAAAAAGCAGGGCAAGGGTGGTACCCCCAAAGCTGACTCTAATGAAGCCTCCAGGAAGAAAGGTGGGGAGGCAGCCACAAAGGATTGGCTGGTCAAGCAAGTTCAGGAGCTGAGTCCTTTCAGGGAAATCTCGCTACGGCTTGCCCCAGCCAGAGACCTTGTGAAAGCTGTGAAGGTATATTTATGTGCCCAGCCCTACAAGGTCTGCGTACGAGATCCCTTGGCTTATTGATGGGAGATCAAAGGGAAGAACAGGTTATCATAGTCAAAAGGCTCTCACGGTTCACCAAGGACCTGGGATTTGACGGAGAATGAGGACCTGTGAACGAGGGTGCACAATAAGCTGTTCTAGCTGCGATGCAATCCCATGGTGACTTGTAAGCCTGGCCCTCTGTAAAAAAAAAAAAAAAAAAAAAAAAAAAAAAACCTCCAACATGTGCTTATCTACCAGAAAAAAACAGTAAGAATATTAACAGACATGGACAAAAGAGAAAGTCACAGACCGGAATTCCGTGAGCTAAAAATCCTAACGATTACAAGCCTGTACATCCTAGCTGTGGCTACTCACGCAAGCAGGCTACAGCTCCAACGAGGTATGGATAGGCACAGCCATAACACCCGACAGGCTATGAATTACACACTTCCAGTCCATCATCTAACTCTTTTTGAAGAAAAGCCTTCCTACATGGGAGCGAAGTTCCTGAACCTGCTCCCAGAGACAATAAAAGGCCCCAGCATAAGCAGCACCAGACAACGCTTATTGGCTTGGCTTGTGGAGAGACCATTCTACACAGTTGAGGAGTTCGTGAACTGGAGAACTTCACCGATGTTCCAGTGAGGACTAAACAACCCTCATAGTAATAACCATCACTACCGACAGCGCCTCAAAGCCCAACAACTTTATGCTATTTTATAATTAAATCTCTGTAATGTTTGACGCCTATTCTGTACTCTATGTTCAAGAATAAAGTATTCTGATTCGTCATTGTCGCGGGCACACGTTATATATTGGTGTTACTTAAAATCGTTCAGTCTTTGGCAGATGCTTTTGCTGATTGCAAGAATAAAAGCTTTCTACAACAATCAAACTGCCTTCGATTATCAGTGAAATTCACTTTACAAGAGGGAAAAAAAATTTCTTTGGAAATATTTTTCAAGGCAGAGGTCCCCAGCGACCACCGTGTTTCCCTTTAGGATTGTTACATTTTTGTAACATTCAGCTGTTTGAAATCATAGTAACAGACGTACCAACCATTTAGTTTTGCACCATTCTTATTTAATAACCCGGTTGGGAAGCTGAGTGGTTATAGTGCTCGCCTAACAAACAAAAGGTTCCTAGATCGGTCCTGACAAAAGAGTTTTAAGAACAGTAGACTCTAATTTTTCAATTTAAAACCAACCACTCCAACAAAATGATCTTTTATAAGGTGCAAATGAGAAATAAAAAATGACTACTGATACTGATACAATGAATTATATATGTAAGAATACACACTCACAGACTGTCCTGAACAATGTAGCCGTCTGAGTGTAGGTCTTCAAGCACAATGAATTCTTCTGATGCAAAATAAAAGTGAGGAAATATGTTCAGCTTGGGTAATTTGTTTCTTTCTTGAATACTGTGGTACTGGGGCAAAGCAATGTTGTAAAATTCTATTTCTTTCTTGAATTTCAGCTAAAATAAAGGACAAATTATGATTTTGATGAAAGTATGAATAACACAATAAGAAACTTGCACAGCAGAGGTATATCATTGTTACATACTGTAAGAACTGTTGACAACATAAAAACTTACACTTTACATTTTTGTAACAATCAGCTGTTTGAAATCATAGTAACAGACGTACCAACCATTTAGTTTTGCACCATTCTTATTTAATAACCCGGTTGGGAAGCTGAGTGGTTATAGTGCTCGCCTAACAATCAAAAGGTTCCTAGATCGATCCTGAGAAATGTCTGTAGCTTTTTGATGGTTCGAAACTGGACCCAGCTGTCCCTGATCATTGGGAATTGAGTAAATGATTCTAGATAATGAAACAGCTGATCATAGCCAACAATACATCTACAAAGATCACCTCACTCCATACACTCAACCTTCACTCATACTTAGGTTAAAATATGCATTTAGGTGGCATCCCCTTCTCACTTGGTAATAATAATTGTATAACCAAACTGCAGTATGTTAAGCCACGTCTCCACCAACCGAACATGTTTGTCAAATAGTGTTCGACGGACATTTTGTATTTCAGCTAAACATTGTTCGTTGTTGGTTTGGTGGAGATGCTTTTTCGAACATTCTGACCGTCATGGTGGGTACCGGATGTTGGCTGTAAAAGTTCGCTCCTAGAACGAACATTTTAGTCGAAATCACGTTTCTTCTCGTATAGTAGCATTTTTCATTGTTTCTAGTGAAGTGCTCATGTTTTTTTAAGACACAGATTTTTGTATTCTTATTTTGATTGATTGTCAAAAAGTTTTGGTTAATTATAGTTAATTATAGCATTGCGATAATTAGTATCCTGTTTCGAAATAGTTGGCCCAATCAGTAATATAAGTAATTTGAAATCCTCACTACACACCCTTGTAAAGTTCGTGAATAAGCAGCTCCCTGTCAGTTCTGCAGAAAAATCACTGCACTCATTTCTTCCTCTAAACAGTTGTCTCTGCCACTGACGAGGAGGTCGACAAATGGACGCGAGCAAATAAGCAGCTGCTCTGCATTCTAAGTAACAACGACGCTGTGTAGATGTACTGTGTAAAATGTCCGTCGAACATGTTCGTCCGTTTTTTATGTTCGCGAACAGTGTTCAGCGGACATATTCGGTTGGTGGAGACGGGGCTTTAGGATTGTTATTTTTTCTTTGAACTATACTGTAACTATAAGTATCTATAATTAGAGCTTTAAATTGTATTACAGTCACGTAAGGTGAATTCAATTAAATTTAAATTCCCAAATATCTTTAAAAGTATTCATTGAACAATGCTGTTTACAGTTTACATAAAATAACAATCCTTATATATAATACGTGAAGGTGATTTCTACAAAACACTACTCCTCCGTTAATAATGGACGGATTTTTACAAACGAGGTGTCAAAATTAAGTACTTTTTGTGTAGACGCCCCCTTTCACCAATTCCTGTTATAAAAGTCTTCGGGCTTTGCCCCACAGGCCATCAAAATCCCAATGTATTTCTTATGAAGAAAAGATTTTGTTTACTTAAACAGACAAATAATATGTATTAATTACAGCTGTTCATAGTAAACACATGATGCACACAAGAGCGTTCGTTTCTAGAGTGAGTTCGTTTTCAGTTTCGATAACTGGAGTGGAGTGAGCGTTCGTTTTCAGAGTGAGTTCGTTTCCAGTTTTGATAACTGGAGTGAAGGATTGAATACATTGGGCCTATCTTTGAGTTGACTCTTTTAAGTCATCGGAAATTGTGACTGTTATTAGTTTTGAAATATCGCTTTTAGCGAATTTCCCATATAGGGAATAAGCTATTACCGTAGTACTCATGGTAAGACCTTGACGCGGGACCAATTTATTTAGTTTGTTTTGAGGTCTCTAGAGGCCAAAAACACCATCCGTTCAAATTCATATATCTTTATATATATTTTTATACATATATATATACTAGCTGTACCCGCGGGTTTTGCCCCGTTTAACTTTACAAGTGAGCTCGTTCGCATTGCTCAATCACGTCCTGGTTGAAGTTCGTTCGCTACGCTCACTCACCTTTTGGTTGCAAATTGGCTGTAGTCATAAATTCGAAAAAAAATAGTGCTGCACCCTGTTGGTAGACTAATCCTTGTAACTGTAATGCTATTGAACATCATAGAACAGAACAACTTGTTTAATTGAATCATCTGTTAAGATTCATTAAATTATGAGTACTTATTTTAAATATGAGTACTCATAAGGTTAACATGGGAAACTCCAGAGCCACTGGGGCGGAGCCCGAGAGTCCGATCAGAATAAAAACAGCTTAGTTTTCCTATTTAATGCCTAAAGAATCAGTGTACCAAATTTCAGCCTCATAGGTAAATGGGAAGTGGGAGAATTAGTGATGAGTGAGTGAGTGAGTGACGAGCTCACTTATGAAGATAAACGGGGCAAATCCCGTGGGTACAGCTAGTATATATATATACATACATAGTTCCTCTTTTATAGATATAGATTACAAAACATAACATAATATGGACATTATTCCTATAGTCCGTGAGGTTGGTGAAGGACTCTGAGGGATTAACGTCCCTTCCACCAACGCATGCGCACTCGCAAGCAGGGCCCTACTTACCCCACGGCACATGAACCGTGTGTGTGTGTGTATGTGTGTCTCTCTGTGTATGAGGGCTGTAATCCCTTAGAGTCCTTCGCCTACCTCACGGACTATAATAGATCCTTAATATTATCTACATTCATACTTGGCTTAAAATACCTACTTTGTATGGTCGCCATTTCATAAGAAAGTATTAAAGTATCTATATATTAATACGTACTATTATAAAGTACTATATATTAATTTTCTTTTACAGTCATAACTCGATAACAGCTTAATGGATTTTAACGTTTGATGTGACAAATTAAAAGTATTTTCACGTAGATGTGGAAATACGTCTCAGAATATTAAGAAAGGGCTTCACTTAAGAACAGTTAAGGGCCAAAGTTTCAGAACAGTGGCGCTATCAGTCATCCTTGGATTAAACTCAATTTACTTTGTTTACAACTAAACATATAGACATAGTTTGAAATAGTTCAATACAGGAACTACTACTTCCAGAGCAAAGCCGGAATTAATATTTACATTTTAACATCTGTTTACTAAGTCTGGTTCATTAATAAAGTATTTCTATTTATATTTAAGACTTTACAACAAATTGTTTGTAATGTTGATCCATTTATCATGTAGTTTTGGTTACAGTTCAGAATAGTAAAGTGAATGTTTAAAACTGCTTATTCACAGTGCAATTGCCCACCTTACCATTTTATCATGTAATCTTTGAAGTTTTGTTTTCTGTTTGGTTAACTTTTGTATTTTATTTGAATTTAAAATTAAATGCCACCTATAAAAAAGATATAGAACTGTGAGTGGCCGGAGGGAACACGAAAGTGACCGCTTGCATCACCCTCCCATTGGAACGATTGACGGATGGAACAATAGCGGCGTTACTATAGTCTACTGTATAGACCCATCCAAACTCGGACAAATGAACGTTGTAATGGTGGCTTACATTTTAAGCAAGAAAAGACTGACCGAGACAGTTCAATTGTTACTATTTATTGCCATTAAGAAAAGGTTTGTTACCTCATTTGCAGAATTCACCATACTTTCAAAAACTTATTGGAAACTCCCAATCTGTAACAGTTCAATTCTGGAAAGCAACAGCGTATAAAACAAATGTTAAACAAAAAATTTAATGAAAATCTCATGCGAGAAATAGGGCCACACCTTGAAAACGCCAACACATTTGTCCAATCTTTTAAGACCGTGACAGGAATTTTTTTGGGACAAAAGCTCCAAGGAGTCAAGTGATATTCTTATGTACATAATAAAAGACAAAGTACGTGATTTCCGCCGCTACAATGATGCTACCTATACAGATTCGCAGCTATTTTAAAAGATTAAAACGGAGAACCACCTCTGGCCAAAGTGAAGTGAAAGGTAAAACTCACACCACAGTTAAACATAGATACTTTATTAGCCAAGATCCCAAAAGTAAGTCCTCAAGCTCAAAACAACAATACAATAAAAACAAACATCAAATATGCAACATATGATAACAATTATAAAAATACCAAACAGCACATCTTCTCTTTTCTCTTTTTTTTAGTTTATTTATAAAAATCTGAATCACTGTATCTACGAGGTGGTTTTACACTTCTTTTAGGTCTGTCATTTTCATTGCTATTGTAATTATGTCCAGCATCAGTTTCAGTTCCTTGGGCTTCTTGGTATTGGTGTTCAAATCTATTTTCACCATTTTCAATAGGCCTATGCACAGCTATTATATGTCTCCTGTTCCTTCTGATCTTCCCTGCCTGTGTATTTATCAGGTAGGACCGAGGATGATTTGATTTATTCTCAACATGTCCATAACGTTTCAAATCTGGAATCTGTGCTTGTGATATAAATTAGTCATCAGTTGTTTGATATTGTGAACATTTTTATTTGTTTATCTTTGGATGATTTTTATTGATTCTTGTAGTCATGGAGAAATCAATATTTACCAGAGTTGGATTGTTCTGATGTGTAAAAAAATGTTAGTTTGTTAAAGCATTAAATATCTTAATTATTTTTTTAATTTGCATGTTGATTTAATTACAAGCTATTTCGGCATAATGTCAGGTACTGGTGTTAAGTTCTCAGACTTGATTAAGCAGTATGATGGAAGTGGTGATTTTAGTGAGTGGTTAAAGAAACTAGAATTGGTATGTAAGCTCCAAAAGGTGAAAGACTTGCAGACAGTTCTCCCCCTATTTTTGGCTGGAGGAGCATTTTCTGTATATGACGGGCTAGCAGAAAATGTAAAGAGTAACTATGAGGCTCTCACCAATGCATTGCTGCAGGCCTTTTCTGCGAACTGTTTTCAGGCTTATGCAGAATTTACAGCTAGGCGTCTACTTCCCGGTGAGTCACTAGATGTATATGCTTCTGATTTGAAGAGATTGGCAA